CTGTTTTCACAGATTTGATCCATGCGTAATAAGTCAAAAGCATACAAAAAATGGCAATGGCTAAAAACAAATACATTTATAATGTTTTAACTTCAATTATTATATCACAACATTTTAATTATAATATTAAATGTAAATAATTTACCTTCATTATCATAAGATCCAGCAACTGAACGAGATATATATCCTGGAACAATAGCTATCATAGCAGCTGCAATAAGTCCGGCACGTGTATCTTTTAACTCTTTAGTCAACAGGAATGTAATTATAGTAGTGAAGCTAGAAAACAAAGGTGCTAAAAATACACATATGTTTCTAATTTCTAAAGTAAAATTGATAAAATGAAGTGAGTTGTATATAACAGTTGACGTTATCATTAGGCCTGGGTAAATTGTACCTAAAAATTAAGATGTAAAGTTAAAATTGTTTTCATAAATTATATGTTTTTATTTTATTTTTTAAGTATATATTTATTCTTTAAAAATTACCTCCAATAATTCTACCAAGTGGATACCATGCTCGATCATCAAACCAGTTATGAAACTTATAAAATCCTTCTTCTGCAAGATATTGTGTTGTACGATAATTGAAGTAAGGATCAAATTCATGAATAACACTCTCAAATCGAAGTACAGAAAAAAGTCTCGTTGCAAAAGCTAAAAGAATTTTTATCTCATAAATTATTTAAGTATTAAAAGTGAAATTAAACTATTAAATATTATGCTTACATAGTACTGCTGCAGTTGTCAAGATAGTCATCTTTAAAAAAGATTCTTGTTTTTCGCTGGACATGCCAAACATCAATGGCTTATATAGCACCGTGGAACTCATTGTTATTGGAATCTATAAGAAAAAAAGGTTAGTATCTAATTCATTTAAGTTAGATTCAAAAACAAAGTATACCTAGTATCATTTTATTTTAAGGCACAGTGAATGATTACTTTTTTTGTAAACAACTTTTGGGACAAGTGCCTACCTACTTTCCAAGTATTCATATTATGACAAAATAGAATATTGATAGAAAATTATCACAAGAATGTGCATTTGCAACACTTTTATTATTTGGAAATAACAATTCAATACTTTTAATTTAAAAATAGAGAATTACTTTGATAATAAATTAATCAGGTATTAACAAAACATAGTTGTATACATCAGATATTTTCAAGACATTTATATTTGAAGAATTTTAGGTAAAAACCAACTTGAAAATCAAACAACGTACCTAATCCAACAAATATAAGATAACTACTTGATACTTCGAGATCCTATATCTTTGAATAGTACAAGACTTAGATAAATAAAACTAGAACAGTATCTCATCAGATCAAAATATTAAACTGCCAAACTGACCATTAATCTTGAAAATGTTAATTATGACATTAAGACACAATACTGTAGACAACAAACAATTTTTCATTGTGCATTTGAAATTACAAACAAGCAAACAAAAATACACACACATACAACAGACATTGGCTGCCTCAGAATTGGACGAATTTGGAGGTTCATTTAAAACATAATTAATCTTCCAAAACTTACCCCTAGACTTTAGAAAAAAAGTTACTTACGTTTACGATGGCTTGATTAAACTATTCGGCCGGCGTTTTACCTCCAGCAATCACGACTTAATAATAATAGTAATACTAATAATATTACAACTTAAGCGATTGGAATGTTAAGTACATCTTGACGTGGTACATAAACTGACTTATGACATGAAAAAATATTATTATTTATCGATATCCCAACGCAAGACGGTAACGGACATTTTCTTTAAAATTCGAAGTCACGGGTCGACTAGTCTAATAATTGTACACTACAATTTATTATTACTATTAGAGGAGTCACAGGACCGAATATTGTACGTACCGCAAGCAAAATTTGATAAGAAAATGCAGGGGTTCCAAAAAATGTATTGTTATTTTCTAACCAAGTAACCATGATTATGTAGTTCTTTATAAACATATTTCTAACCAGGTTCAAAGATACGTCATATTTCGTGTCGTGTGCCTTTTATCGTATTATGATTGGCGGTAGTAAATTGTTTTCGTAGTATCATTCACTTACCATGAACTACCAGGAAAGTTCCAAGTTGAGCCCAAACTTTTGGGCGATACGACATAAACAGGCCAGGGAGAGTAGAGTCGTGAATATAAATAAGAGTAAAGCACATATTTCACTCAATGGCGTCATTTGTCGGAGGAGGTGGTTAGGTGGGCATTTTCCACTGTCTGATTTTTAAGCGACCTAATGTACTGATGCCCAGTTATTTCCAATTATTCAACTTTTTTATATTTGATTGGCTCACAAACATGCCTATTTTTATTATACATAGAAAACATATTATACCTATTGTGTACTAAGAAATGGTTGTCAAAATTGGTAATTACTAATTATTTATTAATAGTTGGAATATATTTATTTTGAATCTATGACGTTTCCCCCATCCGTGCCTTCCCCTTACGTATTGCCACACCCCCCCCCCCAGGTTAGTTTAGGTTATTATAGGTCCTATAACATTGGTCGGCAGAGTCCTACCCCCACCTCCACGCGGTGCCGACTGGAAACGGAACTCCGGTTCCGGCCAACGGGGGAGGCATAAAAGGCAAACTGTGTAAGACCGAACACCGGCGGGTCAACACCAGCGACCAGAGAGGGCCAACACCGCCCTCCAACTACCGACAACACAGACCGAAGGCTCGAAGCATAGACGACCGGGAAGGTTAGACGGTTACCCAAGGCTAGTACACTCAGCGCCTCAGTATCATTATCTGAAACCGCCCCACAGCGGCAGGCGTGCCCCGGGGCATTAGTAGGATACCCGGACGACTGATCCCCGTCCGGGTGATCTCGATCTGAGAAAGGGCCGCGGGTCGAACGCCTCAAGTCTCCGCAGACCGGCCACTCGACGCTAAGAAGCAGCAAAAACATAAGAACGGAGCAACCAGAAGGAAAACTGATCAAACCCAACACCGGCGGTCCACGACCAGAGTGGGCTAACATCGCCCCCATCCGACACCAACAACAGCCGACGACAAACTCCGGGGGACATCGTGAAGCAGCTGAACAACGGCAACTCTCCGCGCCCTAAAACTCACCGAAACTGCCGACAGTGGTTGGAGGGCCACTGCGCAGGAGTAGAACACCCACAGACGACCGTCCATCGTCAGGGTTTCTGAGTAAGTAGGGCCGCAGACGCAGACACCCACGCGACGCAGCGACACGAGAGGATCCCGGATGACGATAGAACGAAGACGGATGCAGAAGGAAAACTGGATAACCTGCAACAACGGCGGCAAGCACCCTCCACAACATCAGAAGGAGAAGGACGCGAGGCACGAGACTCGAGGCTGACGGGCTAACAAGCCGGGCCGGGAAACCACGAACGTGACATCAAGACTGGCGGGCAGCAAAGCCGGGTCGAGATTCAAAAAAAGCAAACAGCGGGCCATAAGCCATCATCGTTTTTTTCTATATTAATAAATTTATTTGTATAACTTATGTTTATGTCAGGGGGGTAAGTCGGAGACTGTCCCGACTACTCCCCACGTATGTATAATTATTTGTTCTTTTTCAAATAAACGATGGCGGCGTCGCGGCAGCAATGCGAAAGCAATTCCCGCGGCACCGTCGGTTCAAACAGAAAAAAAAAAAAAAGGTCCTATAATATTATATATTATATAATATATAATAGTAAAAATTTTCGTGTGCTAATAAAACCTTTTCGAGTGCCATGGATTTGCCATCCCTGGTTTACGAGATTTGTCATTAAATAATTACCTTGACAAATAGGGAAAAAAGCAAAAGCGTGAAAGGTGACCTCCATAACCATTAGCCGGTAGATGTACTCCGCATTTCTGCTTTAGCATTAGTTTGTTTAGCGTTGCAGAATCAGAATACGTTGCCACAGTGTGGGAGAGTTGTGTTCACACGAGAAAAGTAGATGTTGAGTTAAATAATACTATGAGAATTATATTAATCTGTATTTGGATAACAAATATGTAAAGGTGGCCGGTGGCACAGTCCTTTAAATATAAAGCATTACTAGAAATCCGCAGATATGCAGAAACCGTACAATTATTGAGACAAGTTGGAAACTTGACAAATCTTCCAATTTTTTATGACATAAATAAAGTGCTGAATAAAAGACAGGTTTAATTGTACACATCCGATTTGGGCGATCGAGAGTAAGTACAACAGATAAGCCGGTAGGTATGTGGAAGAAAAGCTGGAGATATGGAAACTTGGTTAGTGGACGAGAACTGCTTTAAACCGAATCAGTAACAATCAGTAACAAGTTAAGTGTTTGTTACTTGTTGTTTAGTTAGTATTTCTAAAAGTTAATGTATGTTTTCACCAAAAAATGCCATATGAAATAAATAAAAAAAACCTCCACGACCCATGGTACACCAGAGTAGCCAAATCCATACATGGCATATTATTGCAATACTTTAATAAGTACCTACCTAACAATAATAAAGTATTTAGAAGATATACTATTCTAATAATTTTTAATTGAATAGCGGTACCTAAATACTACAAAATCTCAGAATATCAAATAATTGTTTATATATTATTTTATAACATTAAAAAAAAAACTGTTTAAAGATGATATAACACAATTAATCAAATGTTTTTTAAGTGCTACACATTTACACTGCGAAATCTCATTTCCGTATAGATAATATTTAACTAAAATAATTTTGTAAGTTGGAAAGCTCATATTCCTATCGATAAACTATAGACAAGCAGTTGATATTTAACTTATATCATTAATTCGATTCGATTTTAGGTATACATTTGAATACGTATAGTACCTAATACGTATACTATATAATTGTTACTATGCGACATTAATTATGATTTATGGCATAACAAAAAGGTGTCATTACTTTCAACAAATGAAAAAATTTAATAACTATTACAAAACTGGTTAGCAGAATTGTACAATTCGATGGAAATTATAATTTTGCAATTGTTCAAATAGGTAATTAATAATGATTGAAGTAGTTTATGCATTTTGTACTAGTATGGTCGGTCGCATATTTGGGTACTTGGAAAATATTTTGCTCAATGGCAGCGGAAATAGTGTTCCAGTAAATAGCGCCACTACTACAGTTCAGTCAATGACTGCAATAGAGCCTGCAGAAGGAATTCAAATTGATAAGAATGTAACGTGCCGAAAGAAGCATCATTATTCAAATAATGATCATAGTTCTGGGATCAACAACAGATTTAAAAAAAAAGAAACTTTGCAGAAAAAAATCAATTTTGAATTTGGAAACACAGACCCTGCGTGTTATTATAATAATATGGAAACAGCCATAAATAGTAGCGGTTTATACTACGGAATATTCTATGAAAATATGGTAGGCTATTGTAGCTCTAATATCGTTTAAATAATTAATTTACCTTTTTTGAGTATAATAATTTTTACTAGTACGTGATAATATAAATACTATAAATAATAATAATAATAATGTGTCTTAAAATATGTCCTAATCAGAAATGTAATGAAACGAAAATCATAGACGACGAAGTGAAGAAGTTTCTATTTTTTGAGTCCATGCGCCGAGATATAATGGGAACCGGGAAGAACTCAACGGTCTCGACCAAAAGTGTACTAATTAATTAATAATGGATAATGTATTGGTCTTTAATACTATAGTTAAATAGTAAATACATTGTAATATAACCTGCCATAGCAATACGTATACCTATTGAAATGTTGTAAAAACTAATAAGTGTAGTGTACGTAAAATTTAATATTTATATAGGTATACCAATAGTTTACAACCGCACAGTGCTGGATTTCCGCCCAGAAAACAAGCCAGCTGCCTAGGACCCTAGCGTTTCTGAAGCCTCCGGCGAGTAAACCCCATTTTTTCGTAGACGCAGAAAAAAAAAAATGTAAACAAATTTAACAATTCTAGTTTTACAGATTTATCATAGGTAAATAAAATAGATTATAATAAATTGTAATCATAGTGAAAACATATCTATATATTACTTCTCTTTACCCGTCTGAAGAATTTTAAAATACAAATAAAAGCTGTAATAAATAAGGTGTTATAAAGTTATTTGGAGTTCGATGAGCATTCTTTTGTAAAATGAAAATTTGTAGCAAATTTTTTTAAAATCTTTTTTAGTAATTCATGTCTCAAATCTACATCTCTATTCTCTGTTTAGTATTTAGGTACTATCATTGATTAAAAAATATAAATGCTAGTATTTAGCAGAATTTAGACGCACACGACCCACTTAAAAGCCGAGAGTGGGCCACACTGCCACAGATATTTTGCGGACGCATATTTTGTTTGTTAAAAATAATATATTTGTGATATGACTGTGGATGTTATCAGTTATCAGCGGAACTTATCACTTATCACATATTATCGTGTTTGCAACAGCAGGCCTATCATGTCTGTCAATTTGACCAAAATCATAATTCGAAATTCTCTTCGATAACAGCGACACAGTGCCTCCCGTCCAGCAGATGACGTCACCATAATTGAGATCCGTGATTCTGGGAAAGGTGTGGAGTTTCCCGATTGTTATTGTTTTCGTTATTTTTATTATTTTTTTTTCGTCAGTTCTCGGTCGTTTTATTATTATTATTTCGACCCCCCCGATGTACAATCGACGCTGACCAGTAGCATAATATTATAATAGTAATAGTAGTAGTAATAATAATAATAATAATAATAGTAAGTAATAGTAATAATAATAATAGTATATTGTACGAACTACGGCCTACGACGACGAGTGACGACGAACAACGCCAGCCAACCCGTCGGCATGTCGCGTGTACCGTTTTAGCACGTCGACTACCCACTGCGATGCACATCGGCGGACGTCTGACTAACGCCGCGTAATCGCCTCGCGCGGAGCAGAGGAGGCCTCACGGATAGAAATCGTTGACGGACCGCACAGCGCGACCACCGCAGTCGCCGCAGAGTCTGATCTCTCCGATCCAGCCAACAACGGTTGTCCGCACCCATGTTGAACATGGCTCACAATCTGGCACCGAGCGTCAATTGTTCGCTGGACGACATCGATCTCAACGCGCTAAAGGTGAGCCCTCGTCCCACGTCACCCCCACGTCACCCCCCGTCCAAAATAGCACCAGCTTTTAAGGTGACAAACGTGTGACGCATCACTTCCAGTAATATTAAATTCCGTCTTGTTCCAGGATCCGGCGGGCATATTTGAACTCATTGAAGTCGTCGGCAATGGCACCTATGGACAAGTGTACAAGGTAAGTGATGTCTATATGAATATTTAAAGTATCTATCACCGTGTCAATGGTTCAGCATCAACAGTGTCTGTGAGACCCTGGCTAATTTTGGATTACCCCAAACTCCTCAAATGTTTAATACCTGTTGACGTTTGATTTATTCTTTCTCCCCACTCGACAGACGTCGACAATCATTTATACCTGTAAATGTTTTAATTTTCCTGTGATTTAGATCGCATCACAGTGAGGTCTTTATGTGTACAGTGATTGCAGTTTTGAGCATAGACGATAGGTTTGATTAAGTTTCTGTAACCCACATGTAGGATATTATTTGTATTGCTTGGTTTTATATACAACCATACATAACAATAGCCTTGAAGAAACTATGTCGCTGATATTAGACGAAGGTGTGTCATTTGGGATATAATTGATTGTTGACCCTTCAAAGTCCACCAACATTTATTAATTCTGCCTACTGTTGTTACATGAAACTTCATTGTTACCTAACCTATCGGGTAATGTCATAATTTGCCGACTTAGTTAAATTTTAAATTGTTCATCGTTATTATAAAACATTTTACTCTATTTTTTCAACAATCTAGAAGTCATTGCAAGTCTTATTGATACAATTAACAGTGTATTATGGACTTAAAATGTCTTTGTTCAATGTGTTTAAGTATTCAAAATTATGTATTTTGTTCAACCAAGAACTATTGCACCTAATAATGTCAAGATATTTCATTTTATTCATTTAAAATATTAACATCGGAGAGTTTTCATTTTATTCATTTAAAATATTAACATCGGAGAGTTTTATGAACCTTGTTTGAATAAGGTCATCCTAATAGCTTTTTATTATCATACCAATTATATGAACAGCCTACGTTATTTAATTAAGTCAATCATCGCATGTGTTATGCATCAGTAATTTTAATTTTCAATATGCATAGTGGTACTTACAGTTAAATATTTTTGACTCTTATGAAACAAGTACCTACTTAATATTATTTGGCATAAAATTATAATCATTAAAAGGTGTATAAATTAATCAATACCTATTGGTGGGTCATGGGAAATTATCATAGGTATTCATAGAACTTGATGTGTATTTTAAATTTTTAAAAATATGATTTGATATATAAGTTTTAATTCTTATTATAATTCATTTTTAAATAGATAGATCGGTATGATAAGTATCCTTTATATGCATATAAGATATTTTATTTAAAATTAATGTTATGTTTAATATCATATCATTGATAACTGTTATTACTACCTAGGAAATTTTATAATATGACAAATATTTGTTACCTATACATATTTTAATTAGTACTATAATTATGTAGGTACCATAAAAAAAAAAAAATTGGTAGGTAATTTAAACATATTTATTTATTGTGTGATTAAAACTGGATTTAAAAATATTGAACTTATTCTAAGTAAACAATTAGGAAAATTAATAAGTAAATAGAAGATACCTAATTTTACATTTAAATTATTTTTTTAGGGAAGACATACAAAAACTGGACAATTGGCAGCAATTAAAGTTATGGATGTTACTGAAGTATGTATATTGTATAATATGTGTAAAATAATTGTAGTGTTTCAAATTAAAAAAAAAAAATCAATAGTATTTATATAATTATGTTTAAGAGGTATGTAGTTTTAAATTTGTTGTTTTTATTTTTTTCAAAAGGAAGAAGAAGAAGAAATTAAATTGGAAATAAATGTTCTAAAAAAAGTAATTTCTCATTTAAAATAAACTTTGTAATGAGTTATAAGTACTTAACTGATGGTTCATATTTTATAGTATTCCAATCATCGTAATATTGCCACATATTATGGTGCATTTATTAAAAAAAGTCCACCGGGCAAAGATGATCAACTATGGCTTGTAATGGAGTACTGTGGGGCTGGATCTGTCACCGATTTGGTTAAATCTACCAAAGGGCAGTCACTTAAAGAAGAATGGATTGCTTACATATGCAGGGAAATATTACGCGGTCTCAGCTATTTGCACTCAAACAAGGTCATACATCGTGACATCAAGGGTCAAAATGTTTTGTTGACCGATAATGCTGAAGTGAAACTTGTTGATTTTGGTGTCAGTGCTCAGTTGGATCGGACAATTGGGCGACGTAACACTTTTATTGGTACTCCATACTGGATGGCCCCAGAAGTTATTGCTTGTGAAGAAAATCCAGATGCTACATATGATAATAGAAGTGATCTGTGGAGTTTAGGTAGGGGCAATTAAAATTTAATTTTTCAATAAATTTAATCATTATGTTACAAATAATTTTTTCTTTTAGGCATTACTGCATTAGAAATGGCTGAATCTCAACCACCTTTGTGTGATCTTCATCCAATGAGGGCTTTATTCTTAATCCCTCGAAACTCTCCACCCAGATTGAAGTCAAAAAAATGGGCTAAAAAGTTTCATGGTATTCTACATTTTTGAGAAAATTACCTGTTGTTTTAGTAGAATTAAAATAATAATACTATGATATTTATTGTTTTTAGGTTTCATAGAAACAGTGCTGGTTAAAGATTATCATCAGAGGCCATATACAGACCAGCTTTTGAAACACCCATATATTAGGGACCAACCAACAGAGAGACAAGTTCGTATTCAACTTAAAGATCATATCGATAGGTGTAAAAAACGAAAGCAAGAAAAATGTAAGTATTTTAAGTTATATTTTGAAGTAATATACAAATTCTAATAATATTGATTTTCAGCTGAAAGAGAAGATTATCGTTATAGTGGATCAGAAAATGAAGAAGACGATGACCATAATATCGCAGGTGAACAACATTCATCTATAATTCAAGCTCCTGGCGATAATACATTGAGAAGAAACTTCCAACAAATTCAGGAGGGACGAACTTTAACTCCTCACGGTAAAGATAAACACGGTAAAGAAAGAGAAGAAATACCAGAACCAGGCCCTCCGGCTCGCCCACCTATAATACCTCATAGATTAATCGGTATATTTATTAACAGATTTTTATTGTTTTCTTATTTCATATATGCAATTAATAATTATTGATTAGTTGTTCCAGATCCCCACCCACCTTCTAGACCTCTTCCGCCACCACCGCGTGATGATAGACATTTCCATCCACAACAGCAACAACAACAGCGAAATTCAAACGTATTCCAACCAATGGTAAGCTTATTTGATAAATATTTACATTTTAACTCGAGGGCAAACAATATAGGTCTTTGATGTTTTGGCTGCTCAGTTAAATGAAATAGGTGGTTCATCTGCAAGACAGACAGATGTTTCTGTGTCACAGGTACACCAAAATGGAGGTGCCAAAGTGATACCACAAGGAATAATTATTGAGTCTGATTCTTCCGATGAAGATGAAGATGACGATGACGATGAAGAAGATGACACAGCTCATAGACATGATGCTCGCCGTGCACCACCCAGAAGGAAGCCAAATGATGGAACATTACTCGCTAGTGATCCACCTAAACCACTGTAAGTTGCTTATGATATATTTTAATAAATATAGCATTAATTTATTTATTTTACTGTTTAGACCCGCTGATATAAATCCTAATGGACTACATTTAGAAGGTATTGTACTTTTTAGAATATAATTTATCTCTTAAAATAATTAATCATCATTTGTTTAATTTTTTAATTTATCA